CACAAGTAAACGAGTGCTTTTAAGGTTAGATTATAAAAGGTTTTAAGCTCCTTGGCTGTTAATAAGGCAACTGCAGAAAAGTGAATCATACTCTGGACAAAAATTAGGTGTGAAAAGTTCATCACATTTGTGATTAGACAAACTCAGCTTTCTAATGTTTAATCTTTCAGGATGGAGGAAAAAAGGATCACTTTACAATTCCATAAGAAATCAAATAATGCTTATTAAATGTTTGGAAAAATTATAAAGCCAATTATAATCATCCTTCAAGGACATGCTAAATGAGATGCACAAGATCACTCAAAAAATTAATCTGCCTATCATTGTATGAGCAGTATGTTATTCTGCCTTGAACTCAAATAGCAACGTGGAGCTGACAACTATTGTATTAATACCTAAGGCAATGTAGAACCATTAATGAAAGAATACATGCAAACTACATCATCTGTGAAATGGTCTCAAACTTTCCCCCAGCCAAAACCAGCACAGCACTGCAGGCCTAATTCATCACTTTCTTGTTACTAGTACACATTTACAGACATGGAAAGCTGTCAGTATAAATCTTCAAGGTCATAGATTTGCAGAGTCCCCCTGAAGATGCCTTGTTCACATTTCTTACAAAAGAACTTTAAATATCAAGCACTGTACTTCAGTACTATGCATTACATATTGCCAAAAGAGTAGAGTGTGTTATTCAAGCTTGAAAAGAGAAAAGCAACTACCAATTCAAGATAATGTTGAGAAGAGAGATACCAAGAAAAATTCAAATAATGTTACCTGTTTAAATGCTGCATGTTGTAGAAAAAAAATGACATATGTTTCTGCTCTTGTTAGTAATATTAATGGACCATGTGAACATCTGTAGACTTCATCTACATTTTTTATAAACCCATTATTTTATTACTTCCCATTAAAAAGTTAAAAGCTTAGAATACACATCTTCCACAGTTGCATCTCTCTTATCCCTTCCTAGTCTTCCAAAGTGTCAATTAACATCAAGAAAAGATGATTCTTCAGTGTATTCAGCAAGGAAATGCAACATGAAGTGTGAGTTTTAGTACTACATTCTACAAGATCATGCTAATAAGATGAGCTCAAAGTCAGTCAAAAGAAACATAACTGCAGCCTTTATATTTTCACACCACCAGCATGCAAGTTTGCTTAGGTTAAGTATTAAATGCTTGGTTGTTCTGCCCCCCAAACAGGTAGTTCCCCCCTCCACTAATACCATGAGTTTCTGCAAGCTGCCACCTATCAAAGTACTTTAAAGTCATTACTACCTTCTGACACAAAACAGTCTTGCAAGAGCTAGTTAAGATAAACTAACTACTTTTTTGACATTTCATACAGCTTCTCAACAAAGTGCCCACTGCATTTTTTTCAATATTAATTGTATTGAGGTGAATATATCATAGTAAAAATTTCTAACAAATCTTTGTTTTTCACAAATTAACAGCTGTGACAGGACAAAAAAATTGTCCAGTATGAGTCAAATGAGGTTATAACAGTCAAACCACTATTGTGGAAATAAACAGAATAAAAAAACACCAAACTTACTGTCATAGAATCATAGAATCAACCAGGTTGGAAGCGACCTCAAAGATCATCAAGCCCAACCCTAAAAGCAGAACTCTGCATTTTCCCCTCAAACTACAAAAAAAGACCTTCTCTGTATGTACCACTAGACCAAACTTAGTGGGATTTTGATGTTTGAAGCCACAGAAATTGAAGCCCAGCAAGCTAATATGACAACCACACTGAACTGTAGTGTTATCTACCTTTCTATCACACTCAGTAACACAAGTCCTCAGTTGCCTGAAACTCCAGTCCAACGTGATGCTCCAATATTCGTTGTCCTCATTTTTTACCCTGCCCTCCCAAAATCCAAACTTATCAAATGCGACAATACAGTGTGGCCTGGTAAGAAGTCTGTTCTCCGTTGAATTAACAGCTCACCACGTACTTCAAAGTAATACACTAAATCTACATGGCCCTTAAGAGAGGCCCAGAACACTGGATCGATGCTGATGGTACTCCTTAAAGAACAGATTTTAATCCAATTAGTCATTGGGGTAAATTTGTTAGTTCCATAATTTAAATTGCAGTTATTTACCATCTACAGAACAGCAACCCACTGCATCCCTTCTCCTGTGGAAGCAGAATATGCTTTCACAAAGAAAGCCTGTGAGCACACACATGCAGACAAGACTCTTTGCTCTCAGTTTCTACTCAAATCCAAGGCTACCTGCTGCCACTGCCAGAGACTTTTTCCTCCCCCAACTTTTCACAGTATTGTACACTACCACAATGCAAAAATTCAGTTTCAGGGAAGCTGTAATCTAATTGTTCACACTGAAGGCCACACAAAGCAGTACTGTTAACATAGGTTTAACTAATTGTACAACAGACAAATTGCACTGCCAGGAGCTTAAATAGAATCCCTTGATTCATGTGTTTCATGGTACTCTTCCATAAATAACATTTTAAGATGAAATCAGTCAACTGCAGTCACAGCATTCCTAGTTATTTTTAGTAGTTTGTGTTATACTAGGCCTTCAATGTAAAGCCATTTTTAATTAGGTATGAAAGAACTCGCTAACATATGACTTATTACAATACCACCTTTATCAGATGTTCATTTAGAATAGATTTTTTCTGTACTGTGAATATGAATATACAGCAGACCAGATACACCTGTTCTTAGCTTTCCCTTAACAATACAATTGCTATGCTTGGCACTGAAACAGGCTGAGTATATGCAGAAGTCAGGAGAACATCAAAAAAAATCAGTTATGCCTGTACTGCAAATCCTCAACCCTTCACTAATATAATCCAAAGATCTGATATTACCTCTGTGCAGACACAGAGAACTCAGGCACACACACTGTCTCCATCATTCTCTTTCTTCCATCACCTGCTAAGCGTTTGCAGAAAGTTTTGAAACAGTTGTTTGTTCCTGTGTTCACCCTTATGTAACTGTATTCTCCTTCTGCGCTTAAAAATGATCTACTGTTGATGATCAAACAGTGGTTTGATGACTAAGCCCAAAGACCTCCCACCTTTAGAAACTGGGACAAACAATTTGATAGGCATGCAGAAGGATAGCTGAAAAACACAGGAGCCTAACTACTTGCTTGTCAGATGTCTGAAGTCAGAGGCAAGCACTACACAAACACCTCACAGACTTGCCTGTGCACTAATGTCTTGATCTTTGTGTTCAAAAAGAAAAGAAAAGGAAATATGGAAGCAGGAAGTATTAGCAATAAACTAGGAAAACTTCCATGTGCTACTTTTAAGAATCATGGAATCATAGAATCATTAAGGTTGGAAAAGACCTCCAAGATCATCAAGTCAACCTCTGACTGAATACCACCATGCCCATGCATCCAATCACAGAGTGCCACATCTACTAGGGTTTTATTATCCATTGTTCACATTTCAGACAGCAATAAATTTGTTTTAGTTTCACAATCTCTCATTTTAGATGTTTATAGATGTTTGCTAACAGTTACAATAACCAGGCTTGGTTTTTTTCCACTAAACACTCATGATATTCTCCCAGTTAATGAGTTCATTCTTAACATTAGTCTCATGGACATTAAAACAACACTACATGTGCTCTTCAGTAATGTAATGTAGTTAAACAAGAGATTGGTTTTTTCCATCTATAATCAAGGAAAACAAATTTAAAAGCTGACATGTTATTACACACTAAGTGAAGGTCTGGATCTGTTTTGACCACCACATGACCTAGACATCAGCAAGATAGGCTGAATGATTTAATGACCCATGTCACTTTAAACAAAAGGCTTAAAGTAATAAAATTTATGATCTGGGTCAAGTTAAAGCACTTAGTCAATGGGGCTGAGAGCAATTCAGCTCACCTAACATAGCCACCCAATTGCTCTCGTGCCTACTGCACTGATCCTGATGACCACCAACTGTTAGGGTTCTGACACATCTAAGAACATGTACTGAACTGCCTCCCATAATTCTGCTGTAACTCAGACCAGCTGAAGAGACAGAAAATCATTAGTATGCTGTTGCTCAATTAAGACTCTAAAGGAACTATTTAGCAAGTACTTTATCCCCTTACCTAATAATGGCCAAAACACTCTTCCCTCTTTTTTATATCCTTGTTCTAGGAGACTTTTATACACTTTTAGTTTGGTGAGACAAAACACCTCCTCGGGTAGCAATGCTTCAAAATAATTTAATGCATGAGCTATTGCACTTAGAATTCACCAGCAATGCTACATAGGAAGAACTTTACTATGTTACAGCCAGGCAGCAATAGAAGAGAAAGTTAAATTAGCAAGGACATTAAGATTAAACCTATTAGGAAAACAGTGACTTCCAAAAAGCTTTAAAGCTTTTGTCTGCAGTTACCTTATGCTTTAAAGCTGTGTTGCAAAATTTTACCTTGATGACAATTTAAAACATGAGGCATTACAAACACACTGATTATTCAGTGAATGAAGAAACAGAACAGACTGGAAAAGCAAGTGACCACATGAACATCAAATGTTAGCCAAAGCTACTAAGTTAAAACTATTCCTTTCCTTTATACATAAAAGCAAGAGTTGAGCAGCTGAACTAACATAGCCTTAATCATGAGACTTACAACTGGTTACAGAATAAACCTTGCAAATCCTTCTAAGTTACAGAAAGAACTGCAATACTTCTAAACTGGAAAAAGACAGGCTTAAGGACAGTGAATGTGTTAGAAGCCATTAAAAATGTGACATCTCCTTGCAGAAACACACTGAAATTAAGCCTGATCTGTGCTCAATACTGAAACAGTGGTCCTTAAATTCACAGTTAAAAAGCTATTCCTCACATTGCAAGAACTTAGAATTAGCATTTCTAACAATGAAAACCCAGAGCTGAAGACACTCCTAAAGCTTCTTAGCATAATGACAGTCTTCCACATAGATACAGCCAGTGTAACTGCAAGTACCATGAATATAAGGAGGTGAAAAATTTGTACAACAACTTACTGTGTAAGTGATAGCTGCCAGCATTCCAATCACAGTCAAGGAACTAATGGAAAACGAAAGAGCAGTCAAGCCATCTGCAAAGAGAAAAAAGCCTGTTGAAAATTCCTACAGTAGATAAGAACATTTCTCCCTGATCTGGTTTCCTGAAGAGATTTAAGCTCATGAGAATGAAGAAAATAAATGGAGACAGTTACCAGCAATAACTCAGATGAAAAATTTACCTAGCATAGCTTTTTGTCTGCAGTAGATCTTCCTCCCAAATTGCAAGACACAGGACAGACTCTTGTTTTACTACAATCTCACAGATGGTGCATTCAGTCAAATGGTTGAATAGCCACTAATGAACTTACTCCTGTAGCTGTCTAATGCCTCTTCAAGACTTATTTCTGGCCTCCACAGGGTGCTGTGCTAACTTGCACAGTTTTCACATGCATTCTGGATGGTTCATATTAGTTTTGTTTATCACCTGATTTCTCACACTAAAGCACTAACCAGAATCAGGCAAGCATGAATCCTTCAAACAACCAAAATATAGCCAGACTGCAGGCTTCAGCTTTACCCAGACAATGTACATGAAGATCTACAAGCTGGAAAAAGTTCAGGGGACTGAAGTTACTGTAGCCTTATTGTCACTCTAGAAATGAAATAGGATAGTAGAAGAAACGAGTTAACAGAGGCATTAAACACACTAAAATTTCCTGCAACAGGGCTATCCCCAACCTCACCATGCAGGATACATCACAAGTGGTTTTGGTTAAATAGCAACATGGAAACTTACAGCAGCTATTACAGATATTAACTTTAGGCAATTAGTTTCATGTTTGTACCCAGCCATAACAGATTTACTACTTAGTGTTCCCCCCATGTACTCCTGTTTAGTTAATTCAAGCATTTAGAGTACAGTAGCTTTTATTCCTACACAGAGTTACTAGCTAGTTTCCATTCATTAGCTGATTTCCATTCTTATTTCCTGAACATAGCACCAAGCATTCACAAACTGAGAAATCTTACTGTAATGATCCTCTGTGAAAAGCTGCATCTTTCTTCTGACCAACCATACAAGCCTCCTTCCAAAAATACCAAAATCTCATAGTACAATAGCACAAGCAAATCCAACTTCACAGCTCAAATCTTTCCTTTGCTATTTTTGCTAGATAATACCAAATAACTTCCCTAGACCTAAACGTAGTATGTTCAGACTTCAAACACTACAGCTATGTCTAAAACCTATAAAAAAACTAGCCCCCCCCAAAAAAACCTCAAACCTAGCACTATTGTCCCTTCAATACTTATAAAAATTTCGCTTGAGTTCTGAAGTTTAGGAGGGAAAACACCCACACACGTAAGTGTCCCCTATTTCTAACACATCACACAATCTACTTAAACACCGTGTCTGATGGTCCTCCTGTACAAGTGTTTGACACCCACACACATAAGTGTCCCCTATTTCTAACACATCACACAATCTACTTAAACACAGTGTCTGATGATCCTCCTGTACAAGTGTTTGAAACCAACATTTAATACCCATTTTAAAAGTCTGAACTATGTTCAATGGAACATTAAGAAACTAACTGGCTGAAAAATTGATAATTGTATACCAGAAGTATATTATCAGGCTCTGCCTCAGTGGGTGAGTTTGCATTCCTTTTATAATCCCACTACCAACTGATGATGTTGGATGTTTGCTCTATGTCTCAAGATCTTTGTATTTCTTGGGTCCACTGCAGACAGACAAAGGAAAAGGGTAAATTAATATAAAAAAAGGACAGGTACAAGTAAAGACAATAAGCAAGCATTTTGTCCTCATTTCTCCAGCATCTGGAACACAAAAGAACATTCTGGCAACAGATTTGCAGTCTATGAAACACCTCCAAAAAAACCACAGGGGGTCTTGGCAGACAACTATCTGAAGATAAGCCAGCAGTGTGCCCTACCAGGATGGAAGTCCAACAGCATCCTGGGCTGTGTCAACAGGAACCTGCCATCAATTAAAGGAAGGGACCACACAGGGAATACCACAACCAATTCTGAGGGCCCTGCTACAGGTTAAGATTGATAAATCTGAGCACATTAAGGGAAGAACTAAGTGGCCAGAAGTTGGAGCACATGCTGTGCAGAGAAGCTGAGGGTGCCAGGGTTGTTCAGCCTGGAACAGAGACAACTCTGGAGACACCTATTATAGCCTGCCTGTTTATCAGAGGTGGAGCCCAGGCTCTTCAGTGGTGTGTAGCTGTCAAGTCCAAGACAGCGGGTAACAGCATGGATAGCCACACCAGATAACAGATTTTATTTTTTATCACCATGAGAAAGCATCTCCAAACTTAGGAGGATTTCAGGAGCTAGCTGACAAAGCCCTGAGCAACCTGGTCTGACCTTACAGCTTCCTTCTTGGTGCAAGAGATTTGACTAGATGACCTGAGGTCTCTTCAGTCCAAATTATCCTATGAAATTAAAAGTCACAAGAGAATGCTGATAGAGTCAGAAAACAAAACCAGACTTTCATATCCAACCCCAGCATCTTGATCATTATACCTTTCTAGAAATAAACACTGGCTATACTGCACTTTCCTAGTAAAGAGATACAGAGCTGAAAATTTTGTTACAGTCATATCAAGGTAGCCTGGAAAAATTAGCTTGCAACTCAGCTGTCACTACCTGTATAAACAGTTTAAGGAGCATTTTTTTCCTACACTGTTATAATCTTCGCAAAGCAAGAGAAACACCAACAAGCAGACAGCCAAAATTACAAGCTATGGACTTGTCTTCTCCACCTCCCATGCATACAAGCACAGCTTGCAGCACAGAGCACATTATGGTTAAAGACTCTGCAATGATGTCAAAGCAAACAAGAAGGGCTTTCAGTGCTTAAGTGGCAAATGGAAGATGAAGCAAAATATGGGCCTGTTGCTGAGTGGGGCAGGGACCCTGGTAACAGAGGACATGGAAAAGTCTGAGGTATTGAACACCTTCTTGGCCTCAGCCTTTTACTAGCAAGACCAGGAAACCCAGGCCCAAGAGATCAGGGAGAACAGTTGGAAAGGAATATATACCCTTTGTGGAAGAGCATCACATTAGAGAACACTTGAGCAAACCCCATGTACAAAGTTAATGGGTCCTGAAGGGATACATCAAGCACTGACAGAATTGATGTCATTGCAGGGACGTTTTACTCAGTACAAATTTCCTAGAATAATACAGGGCATGACTTAACAAAAACATGTATCATTACATTCTAAAACTTTCACACAGAAGATACTCTGATACCTATCAAGAACAAGGCACAAAATATTGAAGTACTTATGCACTGGGATTAATGTTTGTTACATAACTTGTAGTTACCTTTTTTGGATACATTTGGAAAGTGACATCAAGTCTGCCTTAGCTCACCTACAAAACACTTTCCTCACACCTTTGCCCTGAAAACACAACCTGGCTAAACACATGAACTGCATTAGCTCAAGGTTAAATACTAATTCACAGAGCTTAGCCTTCAGATTAGTTCTTTACAGCCTTCACATAAACAAGTATAACAAATGCAAACACAACAAATTTAGGAGAAGATCAATACTAGGACAAGGAAAATGTCATAACAGCCACAGAATTTTCCTGTCTAAACAGACAAAGCCACTTATTAGTCTCATTCTTACAGTGAACAGCAGTATTGCATTTCATTAGGTAAGCACTTGAAAACTGTCACATGACAAGAAACACACTCATCATACCCTAAGAGTCAGTGAACTTCAGCATCCAAGTAGCATTTAAGAGTTTTGTTAATTGAAAACTATGTAAGAAAGTACCTTCCCCTCACCATAAATATCAGAGGACACAACATTGGAATCCTTGCTGCAAAATGGGGACTGTACTGAAAGCAGACATTGCCAGTGTCTCCTCTGTGCAGCTTGGGGTGACCTCATGGCTCTCTCAAACTACCTGACAGGGTTGGAGAGAAGTGAGGGATGGCCTCTTCTCCCATGCCTGCAGTGAGAGGACTAGAGGGAATGGTCATAAGCTGAGACAGGGGAAATTCAAATTACATGTTAGAAAAAGAATTTTCCGTGTTAGGGTGGTCAGGCACTGGAATAGATTGCCCAGGGAGGTGGTGGAGTCACCACTCCTGAAAGTGTTCAAGAGGCATCTGAACCTGGCACTGAGGGATACTGATTTAGGGGTGGCAAATTAGTGGTTGGACTCAATGATCTTAGAGGTCTCCTTCAACTTTGGCAATCATATGATTCCAAAAACAGTTCTAATTTTTTTTTTTCTGATCAGAAAGAACACTTATTGCAAAGACTTAGTGTAGACAGGTGGTTAGAGTCAAGTTAGAAAACTGCTACCATGGAAGTTAATCATCTTGTTCAGTCAATGACGAATGTGACAAAATGAGTTAGTAGAAAGTCAGGCAAAGCTCAGAACAAATCTCAAACTTACGACTACTTCCAAATTCTTCAAAGAGGAGCTTCACTTTCTCCCACTCTGTGGAATTCTTCTTGTTGGGAATATCCAAAGGAACAAAAGCACTGTAATACAGAAATAAGAAGTGAAAACTTTCTTACCCTACTTTGTCAAATATAAAAAGATTACTACTACCAAATTAATAACACAGACACTCATTTATTCCTGAAGCTGTGTGACACTGGGCTTAAATTCTGAATGTAGTGTTTCATTTTATTCACATCCCCCTCAAATGTTGCATTTAGATCAGCAGAGTATGTGTACGAGTGTGCAGAGTCAAGACTGAGGTCAGTGAACAAATGATTGTCTATTTACCAGTCCTAGAAGAAGTAAGGACCCTACACTCAAGCATCATTAAAAGATATATTAATCTGATTTATTATCCTGATTTCATTCATATGCAGAGAAGCAAAAAATTTGAAGCATCAATTTGTGGGAAATTGACGGGAGAAATGCGCACCCGATGGTGTCCAGCAAGACTCGTTTATTGATACATGACTTACAGATTATATAGATCCATTAATGAGGCTCATACATATTGCAAAAGCAAGCTCATCATTGGCTGGTGCGATTAATGGTCAGCTACCTCTTTTGCAGCTTCTTAGATCTTGTGCAGCTGCTCTTACTCCCTTGTCTAACATCATGTTACTGATATAAAGTTGCTGACATGCTTATACCGTGTATGAACAACTATGCTTATTGTTCTCTTTACCATTACCTAAACTCTAAAAGTTACATTTGTATACTTTCTTAGCTTGCAGGACAACTATACCTATTATTCATTTTAGCATTACCTAAGCTCTACAGGTTACATTTTATTTACTATGTTTGCTTGCAGCTGCAGCTGTGAAGAAGTCTTTTGTTTTCTGGAGAATCCTTCTTTGGTTTCCCAGAAGAGTTCATCCTTGGGTTTGCAACATTGCTGAGCTTTCCCAGATAGCTTGTCCTTTGGCTACAACATTATGCTGCAAAAATAACTTCTAATGCTGAGAAGCTAAACTCCTGAGGCCTACTTCTTAGTTATATGCTCAAAGCTCCCATAAACCTTTGCTCGAGTCTTGCTCGCACAATGCTCTCTGGGAGCTGTGCCCCTGTTCCCTTAGCCATTCTTCAACATCAATTGAGACAAATTCTCTTATAAATACACACTTCTGAAAGCTAAAATAAAACATGTAATAATTTCCAAAACAAGGATTAAAATTTAAAGGGACATGTCCATCTTCCATTGATACAACTAAAATAACATCTGCTGCATTCCATTTTTTTGTTCTGTAGTCAGTCCAGGGAACTGAACTGCAGAGAAGTTCATTAAATATTTTTGATCTTTCAATATGCAGAGTGTAGCAAAGAATGCTCAGAACAATGTCAAGCAGAACAGTCCCTCACTGAAAGCTTCCTGTTGTCAGTCTCACCATCTAAAGTCAAACAATAAGAGTATCTTATCAGCACCTCTATAGACAAAGCAGCTAGTTTTGTAACAGCTGGAAAACAACCACCTCCAAACCAATCTGGAACCAGGCTTGAAGACATGAAAGTGAATGCCTACAAGTCACAAAGAAGTCAGATTTGAAAGGAAACATTTTAGGAAAAGAATGCAAGAACCTAAACCAAAATCCATACGCTCACAAGTATCTTTGGGACTTGAAGGAGAAAGAGGTATGAGAGAGAGTACATAGCCAGATCCCTGCTTTAAGTCCCAAATGAACAATATGCATCTGCCAGAACTATGCCTCAACTTTGAGTACAGAACATAAGCCAACTACGTGCACTTACAATAATCACATCAAAAGCAAAACCAAACTGCTAATCTGGAAAAAAATTAACATTTGAACAATTAAAATCTGAATTTCTAAAACATGCTTAATTTGTAGCTTCTTAACTGTGCAAGAGGCAGCTAAAGGGCTAGAATTAACTTAAGTTGAAACATGCTTGTTGACTTCAGATACTGTTCTTGCATCTGCCTCTAGTAGTAATTATTTCTGTAAAACAGCATTCAGACAAAACAAAGGAGGAGGTATTAAAACAAAGTTCAGCAACATTTCTAGTTACAAGAGATCACAACCTAAATAACAGATTTGCTGAAAAGGGTTAAAATAGGAGAGCCTGAGAAACTATGTGAGCTCAAGCTCTTTTATTTTAGTACCAGTATGGATTTGCTATCTGTGGCCCACATGCAGGGAACACATGAGCTGGAAGAACATGGTAGGACATTTATAACTTGCCTTTTTTCCCTGAGAGCAACAGGATTTTATTTTTTTTTTCCCTGAGACTACCTACAACCAGCATGTCAAAGGACACTAATCAGAGCAGGAGCCACAGTATCTGTTACACACACTCTTCAATTAGTACCCAGAAAAATCTTGATTGAAAGAGATAGACATCTGATTCTGCTCCTGCTCAAGTTCCATGCACCGAGGGCCCCAGAAAGGAACAAAGAACTATAAATTCACACACTTTAGCCCCAAGCAAACAGAAATCTTATTTCCCCTCCTACAGTCCCTCAACTAGGAGCAAACTAGCCAGAGAACTACTAGCTCACTTGAACAGACTTTCTGCCTCTAGCTTAAGAGGTCTTAAGAAGAACAAGATGGAATTAGCATGCCTAGCCATCCACAGACCCGGATCCAGTCCACACTCCCAAAGTTTCTCCAAAACACAGCACACCCATTGCACCAGCACAGCACACAGCAGTTAAGGTCTATTCTTCATGCACACTAACCAAGAATAAATTTGACAAAAGCCTTGGCTATTTTGCTATGTTGACTATATCATCAGGGCAGCCCTGAGGGTCACAGTAGTCATCAACAGAATGAGAAGTTTCCATGCTAAATAGCTCCATTTACCTGCCATCACTGTGATGCAATACAGTGACTGAAGAGAGTACAAGTGCCAGTGCAGAATTTTACAGCTGTAGCTAAGAATTTAAGTAATGCAAAGAGAACAGCTCAGCTGTGATGTCTGACACCTGGAGTTCTGAACACAAATGAAATTATTAACTGCAGTAATTTTAAGAATAGAAGCAAGCTGCTATGCTGTTCAAAACACATCCTGGGTATATTATGATTAAGATTTAGATCAATACCTAGGCTGCAGAACAAGGGAAGTAAATGCAAGACAAGCAGTTTAAAACTATTAACTTTTGGCAGGCTTAATAACACTCAGGTGTAGATGGGTAAAGTCTGATCCTTAAATCCAGGAGTGCCATTAACTGTCATCCTTAGGAAATTATTTTCCAACACACTAGGTTTAAACTCATTTCCTTAAAGTGAGTTCTGCTGTGATATAATTTGCGTAACTATTTATAGGCTAATTACAGATATATTCATAATTTTTAAAGAGCTAATGGTTCTAGAAATTGAACCATTGTTGAATTCCAAACACTGATAGTCAGAGAAGCATTCTTTTTGGAACCAAACATTCACTAGCCTCAAAAGCAAACCTTTTATTTCCCACCAGCCTGCTGTATGAGTGTGCTTTAATGTAGACTGTAGTATCTCAAGCCCCTTGACAAACACATGACATGTAGAGCAAATAAACCATATGCAAAGGAAAGTAGATAATCTAGGCCAAGGAAAAGGCATTACAAGTGAAAATTAGCTCTGAGTATCCCAGTATAAATTTGTCCTACACTCTGCTCTTAGTAGTACTCTGCATCAAGGTATTTGTGTGCAGAGGATTTAAGTGTTAGACATGCACATTTTTGCCATAGTAAGAGACTCTGTAACAAACTAAGAGGTATAAGCACTACTCCTGATAACAGTTTAGACAATGGCATCCTGCCCACACAGCTGTGTTATCAGTTTAGAAAAAACCTCCAAGATCATGTGGCACAAAAAAGCTGTTTCCCAAAACAGTCACAAAGGTGCCTACTGGAATAAGGCAAACATCCTGCTAAGAATAAGATACTCTTACACTCTAAGATAGCTTTTCCAGTTTCTTTGAGGACTGCTGACCAGGCAAGAGGCAGGAGCTTCTTATCTCGACCTTGAAAGGAACCAAGCTATTTATTGACCTGTTTTAATTATACAGATTACTTGCTAATGCAATCAGGGCAGTGGTTGTCTGGCTATGAGACTAGTCGTGTAAGCACAGGAAGATAGACTACTCGGCTAGGCACATCAGAGGAAATATTCCAACCCCTCTCACTCATATAAGCTGTGTGCATGAGTTTCCTAGTCCAATAAGCCTAGCCACCTCGAATTAAATCCACAGTACATAAAATTTCTATCTGTTTAATGTTGCTCTGATCCTGCCTAGCAGTGAGAAAATCCTCTACTACTGCCAGATATAGGTAGTACTGCAAAACTGGTCTTCACTACCACACATTCAGTTGAATCCCTCATGTAGAAGCTTCAGGTCCAGCACTTTTACCTCTCTCCTATCACACTGGGACT